GTTATGATTTTTTTCCTTTTTAGTTAATTAACCAATAGAATTTAAGCAAATCCTAAGGTAAGGTTTCATATAAAAGTGAAATTTTTATTGGTAACATATTTTAGTAATAGGCGGGATCCTGGTGCAGTATATTTATATTAAGCCTTTTATTTTAAGATTTTAGCAATTATATAATCTTTTTTATCCTTAATGTTAATTAAATTTAAGATGAATGTAAAATTAAGATTTACTTGTAATGCAAGTGATATTTTTAATTTTCTATATTATTTCGATTCAAAATATTATAGATCATATGAATTTAATACAAACAGAAAATTTGGAAAAACTTAGAAAACCTATTACTATTGATAGCAATCTGAATCATATAACTTTAGAAATAATTTCATCTTACATTTATATTACATGTAAAATAAAACACTAATATAGGCAAATATATAAATGTTTTTTCAAAACTATGCTTTTTTAAAATAAAGCAGAAAAAAATCATAAAGCTATTTTATTTGAGAGTATTTTAAAAGTTATTACCCTATAAATCAAAAATCATAATATTATTAACTCTAAAATGTATAATATTTGAATGTATTGCATAAAATTTAAAAATAATATTTTAATATTTCTTTTAATACAGCTAGATCAATTAGTATATATATTATTTAATTAATTCCTATAAAAAAAGAAAATCCAGAAAATGTATTGAAAAAATGGAAATCATCTATACATGTATGAAAAATATATCAGATTTTAAAACAACTCAACTTTTGAGTTGTTTCAAAATTTAGTATATTTTCTGTATATACCTGGATATTTTCTATATATATCTCAATGTTTTCTGTATATATCTGGATGTTTTCCATTTTTTCAGTACATTTTCTGAATTTTTTTTTTTATAGGAAATGTATTATTTTATTTTTTTTCAAATTATGATATATTAATATAAAACTTTTAATTATTACCATTTTGCTAAATGCTAATTTTCTTATGGATGGTAATACTTCTAAGCCTGCTATATACAGTATTTATTTTTTATTTATTTATATGATAAGAGAAATTAGTGATTGTAAAATATATATATATATCCTTATATAACAAAAATTTGGTAATTTATTGTAGGTCAATATAGTATACCTACAATTTTCAATATATATTTTATATTCATACATCATAATATTTTTTAAGAGCAAATTTGCCTTTAAATAGCATCTCAAAAATAATTTTTGTTAATTGTGACTCATTATTATTATTATTAAATTTAATTTTGAATTTCTTTTAATAGTAAAAATATATTTTTCAATTAAGGCTTAATACTTTTTTCATTTTGATCAGTATATTGTATATATTCTCTTTCTCTTTAACTGATAGCTTCATCTAAATTATATAATTACTAATTTAAATTTAATGGATAAACTAATGCAAAAATATATATTTCTTTCCAAATTTTTCTCATTCTTTTTTTATTATCATTTAAAAAAATTTTACTATTTACTAAATCAGAAGGTCATTTTTAAAGAGATTTATAATCTGATAATTAAAAAAATAATAATTCTCTTCTTTTAACTTTACAATAAAATTCTGAACTTTAGTTAGTACTTTCACATTTTTGATAACTTTAGTTAACTTCTTCTTTTAATTACTTTTATTATAATTATTAAAAAATTGCCATTCTTAATATTTGTTTAAATCTGTATATAAAGATATTAATAATATTGAAGATTGAAAAAAGAAGTGATAATAGGAAAAACTTTCTTAACTAGACATTTTCTTTAGTTATTTGCATCTAATATTCACAATAATTGACTAACTTTTTTAAAATATTCAATATATTCTTTAAAAAATATGACTAGAGTTTTCATTTATAATTGTTTAACTATAATTTCTTAAATTTTCTTAACATTTATTTGAAATATACTGCTAATAAGTCAGTTTTTAATAATTATTATATAATCTATACCTTAAAATTTATCATGAATCCAATATTATTTAAAAAACTATACAACTAGTTACTAAAAAATAGGAATTAAAAAATAATATTTTAATTACAAATAAGTGATATCAAAATAAATTTATTACTTGAATTTTTATTTGTATTATATAATATTAATCATTTGAATAAAAATTATTATTTCAGATAAAATTTTTAATGAATTTTATTTACACAAATTTTACTAAGAAAATTTTTTTGATTAGTTCTATTAAATGAAATTTTATTAATTTTTAGAAATATTAAATCTTATTTAGAATGAAAAATAAATTCATTTTATTTAATTCTTTTGTAATTTAATAATTCAGTTAATTTATAGTTTAAATTAAAATTTTATTAATTTTAATTCTTAGATTTAATTAATTTGATACAATTTAATTTGCAAATAATATTTTATATATATATATATTGCTTGTAATATATTTAGTGATTTATGGTATGGTAAACTTTACTGTGGGGGTTTACTACGCTAGATGGTCCTCATAGATGGTAAAGTCTCAAGTGCAATGTCTTAGCAGTAGTTTACCTTCTAATAAGTTTAGGCTGATTGGAGACGTTCGTAGGCTCACAGGTATATAAGGTTCTAAGGTGAGGTTCGATTCCTCAGTGAATTTGATGTACTGGTAGGTGATCCCTAGGTAACTGGGTTGGTTACTTATAATAAAAGGGTGATCCCAGTACCCTTAGCAGCTTACTGTCCTGGTAGTTACTACTATTACTACTGGGGGATTTACAACTATGGTGGGCTGGTATGGTAATCGTGGCCTGTAGTGGGCTTTGAGTGAGGCCATATTAGTAGTCTTAGTATTGCAGTACCTTTAAGCTAACCATCATAGAAGGACTTCTAGATGTCTGCTCCATTATATCTGCCGTACGTAGGTGGTTGCTTACTTCTGACGGGCGCTAGTGGGTAGTATAACTGTGTCAGAAACCCTGCTACACTACGATCCATCCTTGTGTGGGTATAAACTTGAGTCGTCTTCCCAGTGTGGTATATAGGGGGTAGGGGGATGTACATCCGGTTACTTCTAATAATTAGAGTAGGTGCTTGGTTAGCTGTTGCTCAATGGTAGGAGTGCATTTCCGCAACTTTAAGTTGTAGTGCTCCCTCCATATAGCTCTAGTGAACCGGCTATGCTGATGTCTCCTAAAACATAAAAAAAAAAAATAAAAAAATAAATTTATTAACTACTAAATTACTTATCATTTTTTTATAGAAATCTCACATATGCACTATCAAATAGATACTTGAATTTAAGAAGTATAGTAATTGTATAGAGAATATTACTCCTTTTTGTCTATACCCTTAAGTAAGTATTCTATATAGATCTATTTTAACTGCAGAACAAAACTCAGAAATAAAAAAAAAAATAAAGAAGAGTGTTTACAAAAAATTAAAAAAAATTTAGGATATAAAATTAGCAGTAAAACCTCTTTATATATATAATATTTTATAAAATTTGAATTTTAACAAATAACTTTATCTATTATTATTAATAAAATAAAATAAATTATATAAATTATGAGAATCTAAATATATATAACACTTATATAACTTTATTAATAGTTTTTTCATATTTTTTTACAATTATTTTATCATTAGCTTTAGTAATCCAATTTAATTAATCTTTTTTTTTAATAAAAAAATTTATTTAAATCTAATTATTAGATTTTAAAATAATCATTAAAAGAACAAAAGTATTAATTTTAATATAAATTAATTATAAGTTGTATATCATTATATATTTAGTTTCTAATGCCTTTAAACTATTTTGCAGGCAAATTTGCTTGCAATTTTGTCTTTTAATTAAAGATATTTTTAAGTATCTTATAATATTTTATTAAATATTTTTGTAATAAAATTTATGGTATTTTCTATACAAATTAACAATTTTTTTTTAATTGCAACACATTTGCAGTTTTATTAAGGTATACATTAAAAGAAATTCTATATATATATTGAAATTCAAATAAAAGAAAACTATTCTAATATAATTAAACTACAAATTACACGTTATACATAAAAAAATTAACAATTTGATTAATAATATCTATTAATTCTAAAAATATAAAATTACTATTATTTGATACATTTTAATGAGAAAATCTAATAAAATAAAATTATTTTTCTACAAATATTATAAATATTATGTAATACATCAGGAAATTTGTTTAGGCGTAATTTAGTGTAATATTTCAGAGGTGGTGTAAAATTTCGAAATATTACACTAAAAACGTAATATTACAAAAGTTTACGCTTTTAAATTTGAATAATTATAGTAATTTATGAATATCTTGCTATCTACTGATCCAATCATGACGATCTATAGCTCATTGGAATCAGCTCATCAAGACGATTCGAATGGTAGTAAAATCATATCTCTACGTTTGATAGATGACTTTCTACTAATTTAAAACTTTATTGCATGCTATAGAGCGTTCTATCAACTGTAGAAATGCGATTTTACTACCATTCGAATCGTCTTGATGAGCTGATTCCAATGAGTTATAGATCGTCTTGATTGGATCAGTAGATAGCGAGATATTCTTAAATTACTATAATTATTTAAATTTAAAAGCGTAAACTTTTGTAATATTACGTTTTTAGTGTAATATTTCGAAATTTTACACCACCTCCGAAATCCTGATGTAGGATATTTTATTAAATCTAAAAATTTATAAATTTATCTTACTATTTATTAATTTTAGAAATACAATTTTATTAGTTATTACTATTAAATGCATCTTAATAAGAAAATTCTAACAAACCTAATTTTTTATTTTTTTATAATTACTAAATTTTAAAAATTCAAAAATTTTTAAAATTAATTTTAACTTACCAATTGTTACCTTTTAGTAAAAATAAGTATTAAAATAGCTAAAATAACTAGTAAATTATAAAAATTAAGACCTTAATTAATTAATTAAAATTATTCTTTTTTTTTATTAATTTATTTAACTAATTAAAATTAAGATGTAATTATAATTAGAACATCAATTAACTAATTAACATTATTTTTAATTAAATTATTTTTTTTTCTTGTTCTTTATTCAAGTTATCAATAATAACTTTTAATCCATCATGAGCAGGTCTAACCCATAATAAAGGTTCATTTAATTGTAATTGTTTCATTTCATTGGTTAATTTGAAATGGTCTACTGCATGAGAAAACCCTGTTAAATAGGTTCTATTTGGTATTGGATTTAAATTTCTTGATATATTAATTGCTTGATCTATTGAAAAATGAGATGAATGTTCCTGATCTATAACAAAAACCCAAGCAGATTAGTTAAACAAAACTTAAAAGTAGATATTTTAAGAAAATTAAAGTATACTAACAATTTAATGCATCTAATATTAATATTTTACTCCCTTGTACTTTAGTTAATATATCTTCTGGTATAAAATTACAATCTGATATATACGTAATATTATCAAACTTAAAACCAACATATATATATGGTTCATTTGTTGTAAAGTATTTTCCATGATGAACTTGAGAAATATAAGAAGACGAAAGAAAAGATGAATAATCAAAAATAATTATTTAGATTTTAAAGAAATATATGCAAAGAAAATCACCTGGTAAAGGAATAAATTCTAATCCTTCAACAGTAAATGGTCTATTTGGATCGATTAAATTCCATTGAAAAGCTGGTAAATCACCTCCACCTAATCAAACAAAATCTTTTTAAAATGAGAATTTCTTTTTGTTAAAAAAAGTTAAGTTATACGAACCGGTTGCTTGTTTTGCATCAACAATATAAGGAAAAAGTGTTTTAACAGCCTCTAAAGTATTATTAGTTAAATAAATAGGAATATATTCTTGTATAACTTTATTCAATGTCCAAGCTCTTAAATCGTCTAATCCATTAATTGCATCTGCGTGTGGGTGTGTCAATATTATTGCATCTAATTGACGCAACTTATGATATGGCCACCATTTTAATGCAGATACTACAAAAATATTTTTTCATTAATTGAAATTATAAATAATATTTTAGACATTATAATTAAGAATATTTACCATAGAACGTTTTGCCACAATCAATTACAATATTCCTAATTAAATATAAAAAAGAAAAATCGAATTCATTCGCACAATAACATAAGTAAAATTCGATAATTTTGGATTAATTGTTGTGGAAATCAAAAAAAGCACCCAAATTATACCTAACTCTACCATCTTCGTGATTTACTCTAACTAATAAACTTGTATTTCTTCTTACATTAACCTCTCCTTCAGGCGTTAAGGTTGACATGCAAGTTTCACAATTCTGCTCGGGATCAGTTAAACAAGCTATGACAGGTACTCCCGAAGATGTTCCTAAACACTTAATCTATTAATATTCTTACAATGTAGTCATAATTATAGACTATGAAAATGTAGCCTAGATACCTGTTCCAAGGAAGATTATTTCGGTAACTTTATTTGAAGACATAAAATGATCAAATTTCGGTGTTTCCGCAGTTTTACTCCACTCAGCAATGTGAATTATAGAATTATAGTGTCGACCAACACTAATCTCATATGATGTAGTGGTACAAAAAAGATCTAAATCTGTAATAAAACACCATCAGAAAAAAAATTTTAATAGTAATAGAACAATGTTTTTGCCTCAAATACTTCGAGCAACTCGTTCCCATTTCCCTACACTAAGAAAGTTTTCGGTACGTTCTGCTTCTTCAGTCACAAACATTCCTTATGTAGAAGCCAATATAAAAAAGGTTTGTCTTACACCCTTATTTTCTAAGTTGTTTCAACCTTTGGAAATTAATTTCGATTTCTCACAGGATCAAGAATTGTCAAAAACAATTTCTAATGAAATTACAAAAATTACAACTTTATCTAATGGTGTACGTGTAACGTCTGAAAATACTCCAGGTCATTTTTCAGCTGTTGGAGTGTATATTGATGTAGGATCTAGATATGAAACACCACAAACCCTTGGTTTAAGTCATATGTTAGATCGATTAGCTTTCAAGGTGTGTACAATATTTTGTATCTAACAACAAAATTTTTTTTTTTGCTAAATAGCTCAATTTTATAGAGTACAAAAACTCATTCAATTGAACAAATTAACTCAATACTGGAATCTCTTGGAGGCAATATAATGTGTGCTAGTAGTCGTGAAGCTGTTATGTATCAATCTGCTATTTTCTCACAAGATCTCTCTAAGGTTATAGCTCTTTTTTCGGATGTTATTCGAAACCCTTGTATTACCCTGAAAGAGGTGGAGGAACAAAAACAAACAACACTTTATGAAATTCAGGAAATATGGCAAAAGCCAGAAATGATACTACCAGAACTTCTTCATACAGTAGCTTTCAAAAATAATACACTAGGGAATCCAATGTTATGTCCAGAGGATAGACTTATGATGATGACACCACAATTGATTAAAGAATATATTTCAACGTGGTACCGCCCAGAGCGAATGGTTTTAGCAGTTGCTGGAGCTCAACATGAAGAAATTGTTGAACTGGCTATGAAACATTTTGGTGATATACCTAGGTCACCAGAACTTAATGCACATACCATATTACCCTTTACAACACCAAAACAAATACAAACAAAATCATCATTATATAAAACAATAACAACAGCGGCTTCTTCGCTTTTTAACGCAAATTCATCATCAATTTTTACAGCAAATCAGAAGGCACATTATACAGGTGGTTCACTTTTCCTAGATCAATCAATTCCGCATACACATGTTTATGTTGCATTTGAAGGGCTTTCAATTCATGATCCAGATATTTATGGACTTGCAATACTTCAAATGCTTCTTGGAGGAGGAGGATCATTTTCAGCTGGTGGACCTGGCAAGGGAATGTATAGTCGCCTATTTACAAACGTGCTTAATCAGTATAATTGGATGGAATCTTGTATGTGCTTTAACCACTGTTATACAGATTCTGGACTTTTTGGCATATCGGCATCATGTCGTCCTGAATATAATCATCATATTTTGGATGTTATAGCGCAACAACTTAATTCAGTAACAAGATTTGATCATGGAGGTGTTACACAATCGGAACTTTTACGAGCAAAAAATCAATTAAAAAGTAGTTTACTGATGAACTTAGAATCAAGGATGGTACAATTAGAAGATTTGGGAAGACAGGTTCGTGTTCTATTTGTGTATATATGGGTATATATATCGGATTATATACGTTTATAAAGAATAAAATTAAATAAATGTTTGTGCAATTTGTAGGTTCAGGTGCATGGTTATAAAATATCTGCAGAAGAAATGTGTAAAAAAATTGATAAAGTTACATTAGAAGATCTCGTAAGAATAGCAAGTAAAGTTATTGGAGGTCAGATACGTAATGAAGGTAACGGCACAGGTGAAGTAACAATAGTAGCTCAAGGTGAGCTAAATGGACTAAAAGACATGCAAACAGTATGTGAGCAATATGGACTAGGTAAAACTAAAAATTCAAAAAAATTCAAAATGGTTGCATAGTGGTTACATTAATTATAATGTAAATTAAAAAAATCCAACTTTTGTACTTTAAAATACGTAAAATATCTATAATAGCATTATTGAACCAGTTTGATAATACTTTAAAAATTATTCTCTAAGATTGATTATATGTTACACCGATCTGTATGACATTTTGATTTTACGTATAACAAATTCATTATAACTAATTTTAGAAATATACAGATCAAACATGAAAAATGCCCGACATGTTACACTGATTTAACTTCCGCTCGTGTAACAACAAAAACCACTGAATCTAGTCAAAGATTCATAATTCTAGCCAGAAGTCGATTAGAATTAGGCTTAATTATTTAATTATTTAGAAATATGGTAAAAAAGAAAGAAAGAGAAGAAAAGATCATAATATAGTGTAATTTTAACCAGTTACTATAAAGCCTTTGTAATAAAGTTTGATAATAACTTCCAAGTATGTATATAATGATTATCGAATATGTTTTGTTGTATAAAAAAAATCGATTATCTATATTTATTCATTTACGATCACATGATTCAATTAACAAGAGAATAATCGATCTACGTAGAATATTCTACGTAGAGCGTAGAATCAGAACATGGTTAATCCTTTAGGTCTTACAAAATTTCTTGGCATTTTTCCTACGTTTAGCATTCACCCTTTTAAGTTTTATAATATAAAAGTCACGTGGTATTATTTCAATAGCTGCATAAAATGTTGCATTCATGCATAATAACGGTCAGGGTAGCGTGGTTCTTTTTTTTTGCCAAGACTTCTCGCGTATTAAACTATAAATATATATACATAATTTTATAATTTTATAATTTATAACCGTCTTTTTTTTTCCTTTAAATTCCAACTTTTTTTTTTTTTTTTTTTTTTTTTAAACATTACAACATCCCCGAATATATTATATAATACGGGATTTTTGTAATTCAAGTACAACAAACTCTTTTTATTTTATGCACATATAAATAATCATTTAATAGGGCCGCAGCAATATTTAATCCCCATAAAAAAGTTTCCCATTTCTTCACACTTAAAAGAATTTTCACTATCTCCATTTTTACGACATAGACCCATAGTCCATAATTTTTAACTATAAAAATTTGCCGCCAACTATTATTACAATCCTTAATAACTATTGAACTGAACTATTTCCACTTTCAAGGTGAGTAATAAATAGTATTTAGATACAATTATATAACAATCCCTAAAGTCCAATTAATGGTACAGAACTTTTCGACCAAAAATTGTAAGATATTATATTATTTTTATTTTTTATTATTTTTTTTTTTTTTCCTTGTGCAAAATGAATTAGTTAAAAAAATTACCCAATAATAATCATGTGTAAGTCATGTTTCTATGGAAAGTTTCTCCGACAACATTCCAAGTATGTAAATCTTTATTTATATACAATATACGCACATCATTTATTACGAAACATCTTTTTTTTTAAAAAAAAAATTATAAAAAAAAAAATTCCAACTATTTAAACAAAAAGTCCTTTTTATTTTATTTGTTTATAATTCAAAAAGAAATTGATTCACAAATATTTCTAAAGTTTAATCGAAAATAAATTGTTTTTTGTTTCTGCATAGGTGCATTATATGGAATAAATAGAAAATTATTGCAGAATATTTATTGATAAGGATTACCAATCAATTAATACATATATATATATGTATATATATATATGTATATTGGAAATTTTTTTACTTATATAATTCAAAATTCAAAAAAAAAACCTCTTTTTTTTTAATTTGAAAATTTTTTTTTTTAGATTATATTATCCGTTCATTTATAATACTGCGCCGTAAAAGATGACGACAACATCAAAACATCATTTATTTAATCAACCAACATGTGTGGTAGAAAAGATACTACTTCAACCAACATTAAATATATTAGACCGCTGTGCGATCTCACAAACTTGTAAAACACTACACAAATTTACATCAACATTATATTCGATATTTGATTTCCCATTATCCCCTTCAAACATAACGTCACTATCACATAAAAAATCATTAGCAATAAAACCACAAGAATTAAAAAGTGTTCCTATAATAGCAGTACGCTCGGGAGTGTATAATGTAGCAATTGGATCAGATGGTGATGACTATTCTGCTATATTTTTTAACAGGAAAGGAATTGTACGCGTTGTCAAAGTTAGAACGAAAAAAGATGGTGTATCAATCGAATGTCTTTATTCTGTTCTTGTGCAAAGAATGTTATTTACTTGTACGAAATTTAAAGATAAAGTTTTATTAATTGAGTCACCACCTGGAAAAGACTATTTTGCTCATACTAATACATTACAAGATATAATTGAAAAATTTGGTAAAATAGCTTTGCGTAAACATTACGGATTTAAACTGAATTCATGTCCTTCATCATCATCATCAAATTCAACATCTCAAACAACCGACAAGGCTGTAACTACAGCAAATCCCTCATCCTCTACAACAAATTCGGAAGTAGACATAGATTTTATAGTATGGCAAAATACGAAACCAACAAGGGACATGTTACTTAAAGGAATTGTTGGGATGATAAGAAGATTTCGCCAAAGAGAACAAGCAAATTCAAAAGAATTTTCAACATCAACTGGCTGTAGTGAACAACGATGGTACATTAAAGTATTAATGCAATTTCATTATAGATATTTAATGTGTCAGCAAAAGCTTTATGTTTATGGAAATTCGTTAAGAAAACGTCATATGGAAATTATGAATTTCTTAACAAATGAATTTAAAGGCTCTTTATTATCAACATTCTCAAATGAGTGGTCATATAATAATGAAAATGAATCGAATTCGTCTAATGGCATATTTTCTTTTGTTTTAATGGACCTATCAAAAAATTCTTCATCACCATCAAAGAAGTTGTCTAAAAGTATTGGTTTAACATCATCAATCTCATCAGAAGAAATAGAAAAACAATTAGCTCAACTTAATGAACGTCATTTATTTTTAAGAACTTTAATGGAAAAATTTAAATCTGTTATATTAGCTAATCAAGGTTTAGATAGTTGTAGTATCGTTTTTCGTAATTTTCAATTGCAATCAGTTTATGAAGATTTACGTACAAATCTTACAAAAATTTTACATAAACGCGAAAAAGTTTCTGAAGTTATTGAGACCACAGCTATCAAGTTACAATTGATCTTAAAGTCTTTATATGAACAAGATATACGTAACAAGTATTCTGCTATGAACAAAGAATTGGCCCGTCAAGGAATTAATGTTCAATTGAATAATAATGATTTGAAAAAATCTTCAGCGAAAAGTGTAACAACAACTTCATCATCTTCATTTAATTCAATTACTACTACTTCAACAACGATTCCCCGATTAACTACATACATTAATACTTTTAATACTACTTCAACACTTCCCGCATATACTACTACTACCATAACATCATCACCAACAACGATTACATCGTTGGCATCATCAGCAACCAACGAGAAACGTAAAGATATTTCAAAGTTAGCAGTTACTATTCCGCACCAATCTGATCATGATCTTAGCGCTGAATCAATATTGGATGCCCTTTTATTGCAAATTCCGTTTGAGCATATATTTTCAAGGAAAATGTTCATTAAGTTATTAGCGCAGAGACATTTTGAAACGATGTGTGCTGAATATGGAGATCATACTGCCAGAATAGACTATGATGATTATTGTTCGAGTTCAAATGAAGATTTGTCTGATGATGGTTTCTTCAATAATAATAATGATAGTAGCAGCAGTGCTGATAACAACGATGATTCAGATTTTTTTCATCATCATTATTATAATTCAAGTGGCCGAAGTTTTTTTTATGATATTGAAACGGGACAACATGTATCTCAAGATTATGCAAGAAAATTTTTCATAAATTGGTTTGAACAAAATTATAAAAAATTTTGTTACAAATTAGTTGAAATTGGGGATTGGCTAAATGCTACTTGTTATTTTCTTTTCATATCAAAGAACTTGTTAAAAGATGATTGTAATTGGGTTGAACAATACGATGAAAGTGAAGGCGTTTGTACAACTGAATGGAGATTCGAAATTGTTGAAAAAGTCGAGAAAGAATTAATTAATTTAACTAATGATGTAGTTAGACCTGCTTTATTAAAAAAGAATTGTTGTACAGATATTGACGAAGATAATATGATCAAAATTTGGAAAACTTGGTGGTTGTATGCTTGTAGTGAGGTGCTGGATAATATTGAGACTTCAAATGCTAAAACTGTTTTGGAAAAGATGGAAGATATTTTAGAAATGAAATCTTCTTACGCTACTACTTCCACCTGTACTACTTGTACAAACAAAGGAAAAGATAAAGAGAATGAAACCGCTTAAAACCTATCACAAACAATTTATGGAATTACTTATTTTTTATATTTTGAATTATATTTATTAATTTAATTTTTTTGATTGAGAAGCAATTTTGAATGAGATGAAAGTTATCAAAACCAATCTTTTTTATTTTATCAAACAATTATTAGTTTCTTTTTATTTTTGGTTTTTTTTTGAGGATTACTATCAGAGACAATATATAAAAGTATTGTATAATTATGTATTATGATTTATATTATAACCAAAAGTATATTTTAACAAGTTATTTTAGTCATTCTTTATTATAGTAATAGTTTTTAATATATATATTTGTATATATATATGTTGTATTATCATCGATATATATTTATGTCTAGATTTTTATATAAAGACAATATTAAATATAATGATTTGAACTTTTATTTTATTAAGTTTGATTGTTTAAAAAAAACTAAAATTGCACATTCCTCGTCTGGAAAGAATTTCCATATTTCATACTATAATTATTAGTAATAATTAATGTATCTAATAAGAAGATCCTAATGATATGATTATCCAGATAATTATTTCAGGTTAGAAAGATATAGATGATCAAATTTTGTACAATCAATTATGGTTCAGTACTTTATATCGTGGATAACATGAATGATTATCGCTTCTCTGATAGAAATGAGAGAGATATGATTAAGTCCAGACCACCGGAAATTGTTTTTTTTATAAATACTCAGATCGCCACTCGGACCTTGTGTAACAATAAGGTACTCCAACAATAAATTTTTTTGTCACAAAACACCAATAAGACGCGTTTACTATAATAAAGCTAAATTCAATGATTTACAAAGGAAATATAGGTATTCTTACAATATTTTAGCGTTATGTATTTATAGTTTTTAATATGCCAACAAACTTATATTGACATGTTTGTCATCATTATCACCTAATTCTATCTAAAAATTCATTGGCATTAATAAAATTATTTTGATTGATTAGTTATATTTTTTTCAGATGTAAAAGTAATAGATTTAAAAAAATGCAACTGTTAAAAAATTATTATATAAAGAAGTATAATATTTAATATCTAATAAAACTTTATTTTCAAAAGTAAAAAAAGTAAATTATTAATACTCTTTTAGTAAAATTAAAATATAATTTATATTTTGCTATTAATGTACAAATTTAGATAAAAGGATTTATTTAATCCTTTATAATAGTTAAAATTCCAATACTTTTGCTAGGGATGTTATTTTGCTTAAGCAGATTTTAAACTGGCTTGAACTTGATTCAAATTCATTATAAGCTTAAATTTTAGAACATGATTTAAAACTATTTTTATGATTATAGTTTAAACCAGATTACCAAATATTATATTATATATAATGTTATATATAATTACAAATATAATAAAAAATTTGCATTTATCAATTTATGAAAATAATATATATATATAAAATAAGCAATAGTTTTTTCTTTCAAATTATACACTAGACAAAAAAAATGTTTGCATAATACAAATTTGCATAATTTGAACATTTTATCTATCAGCAATAAATTGTTCAATAATTTAATCCAAAAAAAACTATAAGCTAAGTTTGTGCATTTAAAATATACTATATATATAATATTCCAATTATAATTTATTTAGGTAAAAAATTAATACCATCATGGACTTGATAAAAATATTTTGTGTTAGAAATTAAAATGCTAAAAACAGCTTACTTGGCTAATTTATTTCTTTTGTTATTTCATTTATTTTTTTTATGTTATGAAATACTAAATTTAATTCATTTTTTTTAATTACTCTAAAAATTTTATATAATAATAAGAAATTGTTTTTATTTAAAAAAGGCATAAATTGCAGAAAATTTCACTTATAGTTTATATTACTGCTATACTATTTATATATATATGTACTTTTAAACTTTTATAATAGGTAAATAAAACTAGTAAAATTGCATAAATTTTTGCTTATATTGAAAATAGTTAATTATTAATATATAACATCACTGGTACTTCTGTAATAGTTTCAATAAATACAACTTCTTGTACTACTTTATATATAGATGAATTTTATTTATTATTTGTTCAAGCGTTACTATTTATAATGCTATTATAAAAGCTTTTTATAAGACTACCATCTGTATAAAAATTTAGTTAATTTAAAATTAACAAATAGCCAAAAAAATTAAATTTATATTTATATATTAAAAATGTTTATTAGGTTGCAATATATATATATTGCAACTTAGTTGCATTAAATTGTTATCTAGTTATGAGTAAATTGTTACCTATTTACTTGTTTTCATATTCTATGCTTATTATTGCTTTATTACTATTCATTTGATTTTATTGTTTAGTAGTCTTTTATTGCTTTGTAAATATTTATTTGATTTTATTGATTTATCCTCTTTTTATTACCTTCTAGCTATCTACTTATTTTCATTGCTTTGTGACCTTTTTGTAGCCAAGATACTAGGCTGGCATTGATTGCTAAAAATCATGTTGTAATCAGGTGATACAGTAAATTTGCAGATCAGATTTTGGCTAACACTATACTATATTTTTGACCAGAATTTTAGGGCAGAATAACTTAGCTTTCTGTAATTAGATTCATGTGATTTTGAGCTCATTTGAAAGAGAGCATTGAGAGAGGACCCCGAATAATACTAATATAACTCACAAATAAACTTTAAATACTAAAGTAAAAATACATTTTATAACATAACTCTGTCAATATTGAAGCTAGGAATTCGATTTTACTATCATTAGAATCCTCTTATTGAGACGAATCTAATGATATAAATTTTATTAAAATTAAATCACTGGTTATGTTAAAAACAGGGGTATATAGGATAACGAAATTTTAAAAATACTTCTGTAATACGCAACTTTTGAAAAATTTTAATATAAACTTTATGTAAACTCAAATGTGAGTTGTATCAGTATTGTTCGGGGTCCTATTGAGAGCTTTTCAATGATACTAAGATCATATAAATTGGATGCCTGGATGTCAAGTTATTGTATCTCAAAGTTTAGGTAAAAATATAAATTATGCTGAAATTAACAAAATTTTACTGTGCTTTACTACATTAATTATATGATTCAATTCCTTACCAGTTCCAGATACTTTTTTATCACTTTTAAATAACTTTTGAGTAACTTTCTAGCTTCAGTTTGGTGAATCAATTGGTTAAAGAATCTTAATATATTTATATCTAAAGATGGTAATACAAACTCTGATATAAAATAATTATTTTTATTGTTTAAAAATATCTATTATGATACTATCTTTTATATGATGTTTTTATTATACTTTTATAAACATTTATAGCTACTAAGACTATATAAATTTTTATTTTACTTTATATTTTATTAAAATATACTTACTTTTTAATAATATATGTTAAAAATTCTATATATATGAGAAATGGGTTTTTTATTAGTGAAATGGGTTTATAATTTAAGTTTTGCAAATATAAATTTTTGTTCAACTTATTATTTAGTCAAATGATCATTAATCAGATGATTTTTTGGTATTACAAAACAATTTTGTATAATGAAAATTGTGAAAATCAATTAATTCAATAACTCTTTTTAATGCAAAGTAAACAAATTAACCCATATGCAATTTAAAGGATTTATTATTTAGAGAATATTTTTTTGGTATTAAGAATATTCATATCATTTATATCCTACTAATTTCAACTTTAATTCTAAATAGATGATTAGAATATAAAAATATCATTGAAAACTAGTCTGACTTTTTTTTCTTTTTTTTGGTAAACTAATGCAATTGTAAATTTATGTAGTAGCCATAACTGCAGATTTCTTGCCTACTTCCTAGAGTTTTTGCTTTTATTCTTTTTTTTGCTTTTAGGTTATTTTTACCTTTGACCAATAATAACATAGTTCTCTTTATTATAGCTTTGGTTTTCAATATCAAAGTAATAAATTTCAAGTTCTTCCTGAACTGTTCAACTTCTTCTGCTATTTAATATAATAGCATCCTCATAATGCAACATATATATCTATTTAAGCTATCAAGTTGCATTAACATCATTATTAGTTCTGAAGAATAACAGAATATTGTTAAAAAATATACTGTAAGTACAAATAGAAATTTAAATATAAATACAAACTGGTATAGTAGATCTAGCCAACTACTTTTATCTGCCTTACTTTTTTAGTTTACCATCTTACTGCACTACAAAGATCGACAAACATATTCTTCATATCCTTCATAATCTTAGGATATTTAAGTTCTCTTTCCTTTAAAATCTTTATATCATTCATCCCTTTATAGAGTCTTTCAGCCTCTGAGATCTGTACTCATGCTTATTTTTCCTAATAATTAGGTCACTTCTGTGTCCAATTTTTTTTCTTAATAAATTGGTATATAGAAAACATGTCCATTACGAAGTTTAACATAATGGAAGTCTTGTATTTATCAAATAGCAGTATTTGATAAGTATTAAAAATTTGCATTTATTAAGTAATAAAAAAATAAAATACTTAAATACTACAATATTTTATTATTTATTAATTATTTAATTTTTTAAGCATTTTTTTTAATATTTTAATTTAACATTTATAGATACTTTTTCAATATATCTTGTATTCAATAAGTGCTATTTATGAATATTTAGTAAATGCTTTGATAAACATTATGATGTTATGTATACAACCTTTTGTATGTCATATATGGTGATTTTTTTCTTTATACATATAGTTATATTTTTTTACTATACGTACTACATACATATTTATTATATTATTACTTTATATAATAAAAATATACATACATATAATATATATATACAATATCTAAAATTACATGATCATACATTTACTTAAAAAAAAATTTTTTATAAACACAAATTTTACTTTAAAAACCAATTTTTTTATAAATTAAATTTTATTTTTTAAAAAAATTTTTATACTAGTAGTAACATATAATCTTTATAATCTTTATTGAAATTTCATAAAACCAAACTTTTTTCAATCTAGAAATATGACTAAATTTTCAGTCTTTGTTGTTAATTAACTATTTCTAATACTTTAGCTTCAGCTTCTAGTTTTTTAACTTCAGCTTCAGCAATTTGTGCTTTAATAGCACGTTATCTTAATGCCATTTTTTTTTCTTCAATTTCTAATTCAAATATCTCTGTTTTCTTATTTTTTAATAGCTCTTCTTTACTTTTTTTGATGATTTTCTATTAGTAGAAAAAGAAAGTTTTTTTTTTAAAGAGGGTTTATTAAATAAATGATTATTTGTTAAATCAATAACTGGTTCTTTATTTTTTTGATTACAAAATCCTATATTTAATTAAAAAAGTTAACCTTT